GATAAATCAAAAGTTTTGACCAGAGACAAGCAAACTATTCTGAAAACACGCATTATTAGAAGTGACAGCATTACTTTAGCCTTGCTGCGGTGAGCCAGCATATAAACAGAGTCCCATGTACTTAAATTGGAGAAACTTGTTTTGCAAACTTAACACAATGAAAATAAAGCTCCTACCATGTACATTTTAGAGTGATTACATGCTTTCAAATGATGTTTTATTACATACCTATAGACTTGTGAGAACATTATTACTGAAATTAAATTAAACCCCCATTACTGAAGTTAAACCCCCAACATTTAGAGTGTTACTAATTCTGCTCTAGTAAATTTAAAATGGTGCCTTATTAAAATGAGGAAATATCATTTATGCTTATAAAGACCCAAGTGGTAGGGGAAAGAAAAAAAAAAAAAAGACTGGCTTACTCAGGATGCGAGACTGGAGAGATCTCTGAGGTAGATGGACTGGAAGTGTTTTCAATGCTTGCAGCTATACTAGAAGCAGCTTTGTTTAAGTCTACTGAAGGCAGTGGTGTCTCAACCTCAGGCAGACTTAATTCCCCCATTTCTGTAATCTGTTTGAAATATTAACAATCAGAGTAAAGTTTGAATCATTCCTGGTAAACAAGCTTAAGTGTACATTTTTCCTATATTAACATAAATAGAACCTAGAAATGCGTATTACTAAACTCAAGTACCAATGACCCCCCAAAACCAATGTACAGGAAGAGCAAAACTCTGACATAAGGAATGAAAAAAAAAGAAGTTACTTTGGGACATTTAAAAGCTAGCTTTAGAAATTACAATAGGGATACTGTTTTGCAACTCTTAGAAATAATAAAAACAAACATCCCCATTCAAATATTTATGTCATTATCATTAGGACCATTACAAAAATAGATCTGAATTTGAGTTCTATAAGAACAAACATATTAAAAAGTCACAGATTTGATTCAAAGTAATGCTTCAACAGAGGAGAACGTATTTTAGACCCATTTTGCATAAAAGGAGAGAGAGACAGAGAGAGAGTTAAATAAAACTGTTATCATTCACACAGTCAGTGCAGATGGGAACTACGTAGAATTCTAACTCCAAAGCTTCTGCTTGAGAATTGATTTATGTTTTAACTGAATGCAAAACTATCCACATGAGGAAAGTGTGCATCTGATAAGTGCAAAGACTGCTAGATTAGACCAGACCATTTCCTTCAGCAACAACAACTGTCAGACAAATGCTACAAGTTACCAATGAGATTATCTTGGCTCACGACAATCACAAAGGTTAGAAAGGATTTGCAATATATGGCTGTCACAATTAAAAAGTCTGATTGCAATTATTTGTGTGATTAAAAAAATAGCTGTAATTAATTGCGACTTTGGTTGCGCAGCTAAAAACTCAAAAGTTATGCACAACTCAAAATTATGCAAAGTTATGCAGGTACTTTGTATGGTTGGTAGGTGGGTGTGGGATGTGTGTGTGTTGGGGGGAATTTGTGAAGGTGTGGGGGGCTGGGGGGGGTCCCCTCACACCCTGGCAGGATGCAGGGTACTGTGGCTTGGGAGTGAGAGGCAGATGCACGTACACACACACACATACAGATAGCAACACACTGGTAAGTCTGTGAAGGGGAAGGGGTGAGGGAGGGGGTGGGGCAGGGGCAGCAGTGGATGGGGCCCTGAGGCCAGGAAGATGAAGCTGCAGGAGGCTTGTCCAGGGGCACAGGGTGGGAGGATGCAGCTCCCCACTACTGCATACAGGGAGGCATGGAGGGAGGTACGTGCCCCCTCGATTTTTGCGTGGGGTAGAGGCGGGTTGGGGCTCTGCAGCCTGCTGCCTTTGCCCCAGGAGCCACATGATACCATGCTGTGCCTCCCATCACCAGGCAGTCAGGGGACACACAGCATGGCCAGCACTCATCTCCTGGGGCAAAGGCAGCAGGGTGTAGAGCCCCAGCCCGCAGCAGGGAGCCTGCCTCTGCCCCATGCACAAGTCTGGGGGCACATGCCCCCCCATGCCTCCCCTGGGGGTGCATGCAGCAGCAGAGAGCCACACCCCCCCTCCTCAACACCACTGGATGAGCTTTCTGTGACTCTGTCCCATGACCTGCCCTGGTCCCGGGGCCTCATTTACCCCAGCACCTGGCCCACTCCCTCCCTCACTATGGAGGCCTCAATCTACCTTCTCCCCCCACCCCTCCCCCTCACAAACTTACTGGTGCAGCATGCGTGCTGTGGCTGCTCAAGCACATTTCTCTGACTGTGAACCCCTTTCCTTTGCCCCACCCTGCTGCTACAGCCTGGAACTCATGCCCAGGCTACCCTGTGGTCCTCTGCACAGCCACTGCTGCCCTGCTGGGCAGCCTGATGGCTGCGGAGTGGAGCCCAGGCTTCAAAACCACGTGTGCAATTAACACGCACACAAAAAATTAGACACAGGAATCAATTAATGCATTACTTGTGCAAATTAACTGCGATTGATAGCCCTACCTTTAAACTCTACAAGAAAGAGTATTTTTAAATCAAGCATTATCTTTTGGCTCAGAATGTATACAAGGTATATCTTAAAAAAAAAAAAAGTTCCTTGATTTTGTTAATCAGTTTTTGTATTGGCAACAATTCTAACCATTTGGAATACATGATCTATATTAACCATTGCAATTCAGCCCCATTCAGAACATAAGAAATATTGCATACTATCAAGTACAGATGGAATTTAAGTAGACAGAATATTGTAGATTCATAGATGAAAGCCAGAAGGGACCTTTAGACATCCAAGTCTGACCTACGTACAGAGGCCTTAAATCATTGCCAAGTAATTCCTGCATCTAGCTCAGCAAGTTATAGGTTTAACCATCTTTTAGAAAGGCAATCTCGACAATCTCGATTTAAAAGATTTCTAAGTGATGTATATCCTGCCATTTCCTGGGAGAGTAACTGCAATGATTACCTGCCTTATTATATAGGTGTAATTTAAATAATCTAAATTGGCTAGCTCCCTTGTTCCCTTATCTGAGATTAAGCTTTCAGCAGCCCCAGCCCCCATATTTTCATGGGAATAAAACACCATAATTATAAAACTCAAGACACAAGATGGAAGCTTCTGAAGTCCATGAAGCCTTTGAAAAAAATGCATCAAGGAAAATAAGTGAAATAATAAAGCTTGCCTGGTCATATTTTGTATAGTCAAATACATCTTCTCTGGGATAACTCTGTATACTTGAGTCCACATGTTCCAATGATTGAGTTCCAATGGGTCTGCCTGTTTCCTCCTAGTATATTACAAAGTAAACGACAACTTAATAAACATGTATACCAACCATTATTCATCTTTTTATAGGTCACCTAAACACTCAAGATAATCTGTTTTAAAGACATACCTTGGAATATTTTACTTCCACTGCTAAAACTCAAAATCAATCAATAAATACCGGAGTTATGGTAGATGTGGAGAAATTCTCCACACAGTAAAACAATTATGCATGATAGGCTCTTAAGTTCTTGCCTGTACAGAAGTACCAGTTTGTCAATTCAGTTCAGAGCCTGCAAAGGCTACAGAACGAAAACAGACAAAGGGACCAGCCTAAATTACTACATAACAAAAGGACAACACCATGCTTTCATATACAGACACTTTAAATACTGTATGCTTGAGACACAAGGAGCTGAAAACAAAAGTAAGAGTATTAAAACATGTGAACACTTATTATGCCAATCTAAGCATTGTGTGTGCAATAGCACTAGTTCACATATTGCAACAACCACCTTACTGCCTTTGTCCAATCAACCAACATAGCTGTTCTTCTCCCATTAGAACAAAGTTTAAACATAGGAAGACAAAAGCTGATAAACATTTGTTGTACACTAGTTATGTATTTGTCAGACTGCAAGTAGATTAATCCAAAGCATTTCTTCGTGTATTAACTAGATTTAGCATTAAAGTGATTCAGGAGTGTTTTTTTCAAATACTCTGAGAAAGCTAGCCTATTAGCAATAAGCATAGTTTGGAATCAAGTTTACTGTACCTTTTCCTGGATGTTCTCATCCTCATTTGCCAGGGCACAATTATCTGGCGAGTACTGTAATGTAGGTGAAGAACTCTCTTTACAAAAGACATGCCAGCTAGGAAGCCTGTTAAAAGAAAAAAACCCAGAAACTAAGAAACTGTGTTTCAAATTAACATAAATATTTACCATTTTCTCTCCCTCAAGGTTTTTTCATTTATTCCCATGAGATACTTCAAGGTATGAAAAGTCTTGTTTGGCTACTTGTGCTGCTTTGCTGGCAATATTAGGATACTTTGTTCTTAAAACTGAAATAAGATAAGATCTCATAGCAAAGTTGCCTAGGAAATGAGCTCCATACTTAAGAAGGTAAAACAAATTTGCAATTAAATAATAGAATCTATAGATGAAACTGTTAATTCCTGCTCAGTGCCTTCAATCTGCTGTGTTCTAGTCTTCTTAGCTGTGCTACAAGAACATTACATTCTGAACCAAATAAAGCACTGAGTTTACACCAAAGCATCTATCCATGTCAGGACATCAAGTATCTCAAATATGGATGTCAGAAAATTTCTGTTCAAAGACATTTTAGTTTGTTCATTTTTTGAGGAGTTCTCAGAAGTAAGTTTTAATTTCTTATCTATACCTTTATAGCAATGCTAATACCCACTGATAAAAGACACTGCAAAGTAGGGCACTTCTACCCATCCATTTAATCTCTACAAACAAAAGGCAAAAAAAGTCACTACAAGATGAGGAGATACTTCAGAGTTGGTTTTTAAAAAAAGACAACTAAACATGCAAAACAGAAGCTGACAAGCTACAAACCAGTTACCTTTAGTTAATAAAAGACTTCCTCTCTAAAAACCAAATCATCTTCACTCTTTAGTCACATAGTTTAAAATGTGGCTATATCACTGATTATTGTTAAGAAAAAAGAAAAAAAAAAATCAATGTACCAAGTAAAAAAAATTCAAACAATGAAGTATTCTGCCCTGCCTATGCACAGAACATCAGCTGACAAAAACAGCACGCCTTTGGGCAGTAGCCAACTATAACATCAAAAATAGCAAAGACAGCCATCGTATATAAAATACATCCTATTGTCACAGACAAACTGATGAATCAGAAAAATGTACTTTCAATCTGTTCTGTCAGGTAAAGAACAGCACAGATCTTGCGCTGCTCAATGAACAAGTAAATAGTAAATCAGTAGCTGGCTTTATCCATTTTGTTCCTTGAGGCTCCCATTTCTTTTCCTACAAAGAAGCTATACCTTTTGGTGCTCTCAGGTACTGATTCTTTCAAGAAGTTTCAGGATAAACTATACGCTCTGCAGTCAGCACAGCTGATCCAAATGTAAGCATAACAAGAGGCAAAGCAAACATACAGCTTTGTTTACACATCTAGATGGAATACCTCTTTAATGTCCTAGGTAACATCTGCATGAGAGGATATTTAGGCCTGAAAGCGTGAAGATCAGATACTTTAGCTACAAACAATCACATTTGTCCTGGGAGAATCTAGTTTCTCCTGGGACAAATTGCAATTGTTCAGGCATTTATTCCATTGTCCCCAACTGGAAGGGTGATGTGCGTACACACCAATCCCATGACTTCTGTAACAAACAAAGGCACAACTGGTCCCAAGATGAAATGAGATACCTGCTCATACCAAGCCATGTGCAGTTACGCTCAAGAAGGACCTGGATTGTGACCATTAGCTCATACAAAACCAATTTTATTGCTTTATGAAAGAAAGAAACGAATTGTCTTTACCCCCAGCAATAGACGTCAGTGAAAAATACAAGTCTAAGTGCTCCACTGGAGCATTTTTTGAAGTGTAATTAAATAATTCTCTCAAATAGTAAAGCAACTCTGCGTAACACAATTAAGGTATAATTCTCTCTAAATAAGGTACATTCTCTCTAAAACCTTAAGTTGTCTTATACTTCAGTAGCCAAAAAGCTATTTGCACCAATTACTTCTATATGTGAACTAGGTAAACATCAGACCCCAGGCATGAAATCAGCACTCTCAAGGATTCTGTACTACTAAACAGAAAAAACAAGTGAAAAAGGAAATACCACAGAGGCATCTTGGAAAAAAACAGGAGTGTGCCCCACCATCATCTTCTGTTTTATTTTTGGAAGCATGTACGAACAGGCAACGGCTCTGGGGAAAGTCTAGCTACAGCAGCCTTGTGATATAACATGGTTTGACATCTACGCTGTCAGTACGAGATGTTTGTTGCAGCAGGAGAATGCAGAAAGTTACGTACGCAATGGAATCCCCTATAATTCAGAGTAGCCCACTTAAAATGCGTAGCCTTGGGACTTAAAAACGAAGAAAAAAAAACACACCCGCCCACCCCACCCACGTTCATAACCAAGCTTAAAATGTAAACCAGGAATACTCGGTAAGTGCAGAGTCCTTTCGATGCTTGTGGTATGAATAATACTGGGCAATTTCTGGACACTTTCAAGGCTCTG